TTTCCACCATAGTTTTCAGGGACTTCCACATGCAGTTCTGCAGGCTGGGCCTGGGTGCTGAAAGCCTGTTGGAAATTCTCACCTTGTTCCACAGGCACTGGCAGGAAGAGGGAATTTCTGCCCCTTCCCCCAGCCTAACAGCTCTTAGCCCCATCCATCCTCTGGTCTTAGGCTTCCTGCTTCCACAGCAGGCCCATAGCTCTCACTCTGAACTCCGACTCCCACACTACTTTTGTGGGCTAGTGTGATGAGTCTGGGTGGGATTGGGGACAAGGGTGCTAACCGCCAAGGATGAGATCTGAAGGAAGAGGCAGGGCCCAGCTCACCTGAATAACAGAGAGGCAAAGCAGCCATAGCCAGGCAGCAATCATGGTCAAGGTGGGCCTGAGAGACATGAAAGGTGAGAATCTAGCCCAGAAAGTCAGGAAGAAGGGCTCTGTCCTATGCACATGTCCAGAGGGATCTCACTATAGACTAGTCTCTTCTCCCTGCAGTGGACTGTGGTTCTCTGTTGCAAATGTTCAGTTCCTTGGTCAGACCAAGTGAGGCCCCCAGGACCAACAATACTGCCTCTTGGCTCTTGCTATCACAGAGCACCATAGAAATTTTCACCTCCAAATCCCTTAACTTGCTGCTATAGCCTGCCCACCCCCCAGCAGCTCCTAAAGTGGTAGTCATTTAGCAGCCCACCAAATCACAGAAATTAGATCCTGGACAGACAACTGTCACTCCAGCAGTTCCATGTTTCAGGCAAGGCCTCAACAGCATGGCCTGGCCAAGGTCATAGAGGACTTGACCACAAGAGGAATCATTCTGGAACAGAGGACTTCTGGCTCAGGCCTTGGAGATTATCCCGTTTCCTACTACCACCCTTAGGGCCAGAACTCTGTCCTCACTTTATATTTTGCACGTAGCTTAGAATATGCAACATTATCTGCCCTCTGAAAGATGGATCCCTGAGAATTCTTACCTAAATATCTGAAGGATAGGGCAATGTCCCTACTCCCAATCTCAGCCCTGCACACCATAGCTCCCAGCCTCTCACCTACTGATGCCCCAAGTGTCTCCCTTGGTCCAGCAGCCAGGAGAGAGGGATCCTTCTTCAGGGAGCTCTGGCACGTTGGGCTAGGTGGGGCAGGGCAAAGGGGACACTTAAACAGGTAGGCGGTCTGGACACTCTTGCTTAGGAATGGAAAATGCCACTGAGTCCACAGCAGTAGGCCTGGCCCCGCCTAATCCCCCCAAGTTACTTATTGACTTTGGAAAGCTAGGACTGCTCAGCATCCGTGACTGCCAGCCCTAGGAGGTGGGCAGATCTTGGGCTGTCACTCCCACCTTGACACAGCCCAATGAGCACTTCTTGGCCCTCTGGGCTTGGACACAGCTTCTTTTTCTGTGGCTTCAGACTTGGCCCCAGTTCTCTGTGCAGTGGCATCTGTAGCTAGATCACTGCAGATACTGTTCCTTGTGCCTGGACTGCTTGTCCCACACTTCCTCACGGTGGTAAGTAGCTACTTATGCTTTAGCAAAAGGCACAAATAACCCCCTTTCTAGGAAAGCTTCAACCTTCCTAATGCTTCGACCCTTAAATACAGTTCCTCAAGTTATGCTGATCCATCCCCAAAAATATTTTCATAACTGTACAGCTACTTCCCTAACTGTAAATTCTGCCACTGTTATGAATAATAATATAGATATCTGATATGCAACCCCCATGAAATGGTTCTTTGACCCACAAAGGGGCTGTGACCCAGGTTAAGAACCACTATCTTATGCTAATAGGCTGGATTAGGACCATCTCTGGAAGTATCCCCATTCCATATCATGAACTGCCTCTACCAAAGCACAGAAGGCATCAGCTTGTCTCCCATCTATTAGCCGGTGAGTCCCTCTGGGCAGGACACCTGACCTTGTCTTGCCCCAAGTACTCTCAAGTGGCTTGTGGTACTAAGGACTGGGAGTGTAACCCAAAGAACAGGTGACCCTGAGTGGGTGTTAGGAGCTCAAGACCGTACATCAGTGACACCAGTGTTTGGGAACAGAAAACTGTGAGGTCCCCTGAAGCTCCCCAAACCCCACACTGGCTCCTGAACACTGACAAGGGTCCAGCACTGCACTGTCTCATGCCTTCAAGCAGAAGAGAAAAGACTGACTTAGCTCAGGTGACTTTGAGGGGGTTCCAGGGATGACCAGGGCCTCCTCACATCTCCCATAAGGCTCACCAAGGAGTCCCAGCAGAAGTTCTGTTTTCTGGGAGTCTCAAATGAGGGAGAGGGTAAGAAGATGCTGGCCTCCCACCTCTTACTGTCCTTCAATGTTTTGGGGTCCCCTGAGGACTTCTCATGGCGCATCTGGTTGGCTTCTTGGGATGGAAACCAGGCCAGGACAAACTGAGTATCTACTTTGGGGTCACTGAGGTACCCAGTCTGGACTAGTGCTGTATGTAGGGTTGTTGAAGGGGGCCCCACGCATATTGAGTGCTTACTGATCAGCACACAGAACTTCTCTGAGCATATACATTTGTTATTACACCCACTCCATTATGAAAAGGGGACTGTCCTTTTTCATACATTGGGGTACAAGGAGGCTAAGCAGTTTGCTCAGGGCTTGGGTTGCTCTTCAGGTTTGGGGACTTTTACCTACCTTGATAAGAGCAAGCTTTCACATACTTCAGTGTGTGTGGAAACAACAGAAACTTTGAGCAGTTAATACTGCTTGGGTGAGGATGCACGGGAGTCTCAGGGGTTCTTCGTGTACACACTGAGAAGCCGCCTTCAAATCTCTTTCTGATACTGAGTGAGGTGCAGCCAGAGTTATAACCATGTCTCAAGGGCTCCCAAGAGTTTGTGGAATGAAAAACAATGTGGGCTCTTGTCCCAGGCTGCCTCCAGGCTTCGGAAATTAACAGACCTATATAGCTGTTCCCCACTCAGCCACTTCCTATCCATCACCAAGTGGGATTGCTAGCTCCTGAAAACATGTTCAGGAGTCCTTATCCTGAACACACGCCAAGACCCTCAGTGGATGCCTGGGCCGTGGGATAATACCCAATCTTCTGTATACTGCATTTCTTCCAGTACTGGCCTTTTCACTTTCTGAAGCACTTCATAGCCTCTATTTGTCATATATTAATTGCCAGTGTTACTCTCTACAAAGGCTATCTGGTGACTAGCACTGTTATACTAGAAAGCCATTTTGATAACTGAGGTGACTTCTAGGTGACTAATAGGTGGGTAGCATATACAGCATGGATACTCCTGACAAAGGCTGACTCATATCCTGAGTGAGACAGAACTAGATGGCTTAAGATTTAATCACATTACTCAGATCATTATCTAATTTAAAATTCATGAATTGTTGGTTCCTGGTATTTTCCTTTTCATATTTTTAGACTGTAGCCAATCAATGGTAACTGAAACCATACACACAAAAGAAACTATAGGTAAGTGGAGGCTCCTACAGGTAAACTCCTGTGCTATCACCTGTATCAAGAAGGGTGAAGGAGGGGCTGAGAAGATGGCTTAGTTAATAAAGCATGGTGAGCTGAGTTCAGATTCCTAGGACCTATGTAAAAAGCCAGGTGACACTGTTGTAATCTCAGTACTGGGAAAGTGGAGACAGGGGAATCCATGGGGCTTGCTGGCTAGTTGGTTGCTATCCAGTTGCTAAGCTACAGTTTCGGTGAGAGACTCCATTTAAAGAACAAGGTAGAAGTGATGGGAAAGACACCTGACATCTGCCTTTAGCCTCCAAATACACGCTAGCCTGTGCACATGCACACACAGCCACAGCCACACTTAGAGAGACACACTCAGAAGGAGGGAGTGGAGGAGGGAGACAGAAAGAATCTTGAAGGAGAGCTGGCCTGGTAATCCCAGCTATACAGGAAACCAAGACACAGAATTTTTAAGTTCTAAGGCAGCCTGGGCAATTTAGAGACCTTGTCTGAAAATGAAAGGGCTGAGGATATAGCTAAGTGGTAGAGAACTTGCCTATAACACAAGAAGCTCCAGTCTCTGTTAAAAAAAATAATATAGGGAGAGTCATGTGCTCCACTTATAGGAGGGTCTGGATGTAGGCAGTGGATGGCACACAGGGACATATCCTACACAGATGTGAAATCTACATTTCCAAACAGGAGTTGTTCTTTCAAAAGAGGGACTAGTCAATTTATTAACATAGACACTCAGAGTACAGAATGCTGAGCCCCTGTAGGATAATGTCAGCCAGGAATTGGAGAAGCCATCAGTGCCTGAGTGTGCCTCCCTCAACACCTACTCTTAAACACCAGCCACCTTACCTCCCATCTCTGAAGTCTTCCCCTCCATGTCTTTACTTCAGCTGATTTCCACTCCTTGGGAGAGCCAGGGCAGAAATACTGCTGCAGAGCCTGAGCCCACAATCTTGCCAGGCTGTGAGATCCAATCAAACTGTGCTTCCTGGGGCAGCCTCAGTTTCCCTTTATGCATGGAGAGGCAATGGAATCTTCAGTCAGCCAATGCCAGGCCCCAGTGTGGAAGAGTCTAGATAATAGGCTGACTTCTGGGACATTTCTCCCTAACCACCATAGGCTTCCCACCTGTTCCCTCCATTGTGCAGGCCAAACATTAGGACCATCAAGACCACATACTAGGTCATGGGGGCTGGGAGCCCTTATCTCTCAATTTCAGCATCTTTTTCTGCTTTTGAAACTACCATGAAAGAAACATACTCAACAGCCCTGGCTTGTCAGGAAATAGTCTTTATTACAAAAATCTGCATGTAAACAAACAGCAACCATACTGAACAGCCTCACTCCAGGGCACACACCCCCCACTCGGAGAAAGGCAGAGTCCTGTCCAGGATCTGGGTTCAGGCTACTTGGTATGCATGTGGGCCTGCACATGCATCTCTGCGGGCCCAGGCCTTGCTGGCCTCTTGGAGTTGCCTCCTTGGTCAGAACTGTATGTCTGTCCATGACCATGAGACTGAGCACACACAGCTGACAGTTCTGAGAATCACAGAGCATGGGTTGGCCCTGAGGCATCAAGAGTGGTTGGTTGGGCCAGCCCCTCTACCCATGCACTTGGGCCTTAGAGAACAGAGAGGTCATGGCAGGACTTGGACTTGGCACGAAAGGCCATCTTGCGGCTGTTTCGAGCTACAATGCGGCCCAGAAAGCGTTTGGCCTTCTTGCCAAGGCTCTCGCGTCGCCGAGTACCAGCTTGCCGCCGGGCATTATCCTCTTTGCTGTCCCTTCGCAGGCGTATCTGGCGCACAACACCCTCAAACAGTGCCTGGACATTGTGATGCAGTGCTGCTGATGTCTCGATGAACTTGCAGTCGAAGACCACTGCGCAAGCCCGGCCCTCTGTGTGGTAGGGACAGACATGTGCCAGTAAACAAGGAGCAGAGTATGACATCTCAAACCCTGGCCATATCTGACAGCGATAACTCAAGAATTCTCTAGTAATGGAAGAAGAAACCTTAGATCCTTTTTTTTTTTTTTTAAGAGACACAAAGATCCCAGCTCCAAACATCGCTGGGTCACTAGTAGGCAGAATGTGCCTCCAAAGTTTATAGTGGCCCACAAAAATTACATTCATTTATTTAAAGCCCAGTGTTTAAAATATATTCTGTAGTAGTGGATGAAGGCAAGTGAAAACTATTCGACGACTGAGTATTTTAAGACTTGCTGTTATAATGAATGGCCTAATGGACTGGGCAAGGTCACCAAGTTTGAAGTACTACATGCCACAAAGGAGGATGCTGAAGCCTGATGAGGAAGAATGGTGGGGTCTAGAATCAGGCTCTGACCTCCTGATTCTCTATATGCTCTTCCATTTCCTCAGTCTCACTCTTGTCTCCTGTCAGGCATGAGCCTGAGGAACAGTTGAGGAGGGTGGTTGCATGTCTTAGTTCTCCTAGCAGATCTGGTTCTTACTTTCTCTTTGTTTTAGGCCTTTGGGAGCCTGATGGACCAGAAGCATCTCCCTACCTTCCAACACCAAGTTTTCTTACTGAACATTTTTAGCCACTGATGATCCCCAGGGACTCAAGCTGAGCCAAGACTAACTGGCCTACAGCCCAGCTAGGATCTCCCTCCCTTTCCTGACCTAATGCCTGCTTACCATCCACAGAGACTTCACGAGAGCGCACCAGGTCACTTTTGTTGCCCACGAGGATGATGGGCACATTGTCTGTTTGTCGTGCCCGCCGTAGCTGGACCCGAAGTTCGGATGCTTTCTCAAAGCTGCCCTTGTCTGTTATTGAGTACACAATGACGTATGCGTCTCCCATGGCCATGCAGTGGCCAGGCAGCCAACAGCTCCCATCCTGGAGAGGACACAAATATATACACATAACCCTGTAATTCCCAGCAAGACCCTTCCCCTTGCTTTCCCTCTTTCAGACTGAATCCTACCTGTTCCCAAATGTCATAGACCATGAGTGATGCCTCTTCTCCATCCACAGTAATAGAACGATCATATGTGTGCCCTAGGAAGGGAGCCAATAGCCAAGTTATCAGTTGCCTGGCTAAAGTTCCCAGTGTCCAGTTCTTCGGACCACACCTCTTGATAACTCTTTTCCACTAGCAGATGGTTGCTATGATCAAACAAAATGACAAGCCTGGGAGCTGGAGGACATGGGATGCCCCACCTCCCCTCTCTATGACCCCAAATTAGCAAAGTACTGGGTGTCCAGAGCTCCCTGCACTCCTGCTGCCCAGGTCCAGCGTGCATGTGATCACAGTGGCTGGAGTTAGCATAGTGGCTGTCTCCCACTGGAGATCGTGGGCGCCTAGCTTTCCTCTCCTGGAAATTTCTGATTTTGTTCCTGCCAGCTCTGGCAGGCAGGAATGTCCTGTCCTAAGCCGCAGAGAAGTCATACCCCACACTCAACTTCTATACCCTACCAAGGACTGGCACATGGGTAGGGAGAGGTTGGAAGCAGTTAAGTAGGGATGTGTGGTGGCCCTGCAGTTTCTCCATCTTGGGCATAGAAGTAACATGATTCTGAAATTCTTAAAATTCCACAGTGTTTGCTACTTTTAGTCTAGGTACCCTGCCTCCCAACTATCTTTCTCTAAACAGCTCAATTCTCTCACCTGCAGCTTCTGCATCAGGCCCGTCCTCTATACCACCAAAGATGCGAGCTAGAGCGCTCTTGCCCACACCAGGTGCCCCAAGCAGCAGCACCTTGTAAACGCCCTCCTCTGAGCTGCTGCCTCCTGAACTGAGCGAGTCGGAGGAACCTTCGGGCCAGTCTAGCCTCTGCCCCTGTGTCCGAGTTCCCGCTGCAGTTGCTGCTAGGGAGCCTGGGGCTATGGCAGCCTGAAGGTCTCGCTCATCCACCGGCATGCTCCTGCGGTGCAGTGGGGGTGCCGGGCCCCAGGGTGTGCTGCCTCGACGGCGGTCACGCTCCCTGCCCGCGCCACGGCTCCCTCCTGCTCCGCTGCCGCCATTCAGGGTCATTGTGTTGGATGCCGTCTAGGGAACCAGGAATCCGGATGGCAGCTCTGTCGCGGGAGCAGGCGGGACCCTGGAGTCAAGAAAGATGCTTAGGACGACGGACCTGCCAGAACCCATTGCCAGCCCCGAGGTCTCCATGTCTTAACCAACAACTCAGATGGACATGGGTCCCCATCCGTCCCCAGTCCAGACGGGGTGGTTCATCCCACTTGGTCAGGACACTCACCAACTCTCACAGACGCGATCAGGATTTGATCTGTACTCCAGCACAGCTCACCGGGGAATGAGATAGAATCCGCTCGCAGACCCCTGTTCAGAAAAACTGGGACCCCTTGTCGCTGTCAAAACTGCAGTCTTTTTCTCCTCTGCTACTTTAGCCCCTCAGCTGGCGCTGGGTCGCAGCCCTAGGGCAGCCTATTTAAACCTCCGCCAGCCTGGCTCCCGCCCTCACTCCTACCCCCACTCCCGCCCCCGCTCCCCAGTCCAGGTCCCAGGTCCACGCTGCTGCTGCTGCTGCGAGGCGGCTGACGCATCCATCCGCCCCCGGGAATCCCCCACCTCCCTTCTAGGACCTCAAACTCGCTAGGGAGGGGCAGGTAGCTGGGAAGAGGCGGTGCGTGGGGGAGGCGGGGGGGGGGGGGATGAGGGGGAGTGTTTGTTGAGGCGGGTGTAGAGGGCAGGCGGTGGAGGCGGATGCTTGGTCCAAAGGCTGCCAGTAGTGGGTAACTGAATCTGTGAAGTACACTCCCTTTGGAGAAATATTGACTGTCCCTTTAAGAATGAATTTTCCCTTCTTGTATTCAAACCAGGCCTGTTACCCAAGCCAGTACACTAGTTATGGGCTGGACACACTCAAAGCTCATGACACCCATTCCTACATGTATGGACCCTACCTAGCTCCAATTGAGAGTGTCCTAAACTGGCATTTCTGGTTTCAACACTAAGTCTTTCCTATTCCAGTCTTGTTCTGGGACTTATAGTCTCCCCAATGAGACTACTCTTCATACTGAAGGTTGGTATCATCCACGACTCCCTGGGCCCCTTAGAGAGTTATAGGGAGCCCACGTGTGTGTGTGTGTGTGTGTGTGTGTGTGTGTGTGTGTGTGTGTGTGTGTGTGTGTGCTCCTCTGTTAGGGAGCCCACGGGTGTGTGTGTGTGTGTGTGTGTGTGTGTGTGTGTGTGTGTGTGTGTGTGCTCCTCTGTTAGAGCCTTCTAGGTGGAGGTGTATGCTTGTCTTCTGGAGAGAAACTACAGAGCCAGAGAAAGGAAAACACAAACTCAAGTCCCCACCCTAACTCTAAGCATGCCAAGCAGCTGCCAGTAACTGCTAAAAATATCTAACCCTGGCCCTAGCCATTTTGTTTCTGGGCATGAGGTTGCCCAGAGTGGGGGAGATCCAGGCAGATTGTGGGGAAATGCTCAATGAGACAGCTCCTTTATAGTCTTTCTGTTCCTGAGCCCCATGCTGGGCCTTTTGCTCATAAACATCTCACCCAGAGAGGGGCATAAATGCAGGGTGTGGGCAAGAGTAGGGGAGTTTTCCTGCCCATGTCCCAGGCCCTCTGTTCTAAGACTTACTCCTTTCATTGCACTGATCTATATAAGTACTTGTGTGCCAGCCCCTTTTATCAACAGGAGAAATAGATGTAGTGAGTGCTATTACCACTGCCTCAGAGTTCACCTTTCTTAGACATTGGGTGAAAACTGGGATAATCTCAGAGGGAAGGAGAGGTGATTAGGTGTGCTGAGTGTCTAGTTCTGGGTCTGCCTCTCCAAGCTCAAAGTCCCCAGTCCTGAATATCATGACCTATTCCTTCCTTGCTCATCTCTAGAGTGATGAAGACACTGTGTGTGTGTGTGTCTGTGTCTGTCATCTGTCTCTGTGTATTAGTTGTGACGTACTTTGGGACAAGGACTTGATTTTAGACATTTGTGATGACTATGGTGGGGTTGGAAGGGCACCCGTTTGGGGCTCAGGTGACATCATACATAGATGGACCTTACTGGGCTGTAGCAGGTTGCCATGGAAACTTGAGCCAGACTTTCTGCTGCTGCATTAGTTTCCTTGGCAACACCTAAGAAGGCCTTGAATTGAAGAAACTGGCTAGGGGATAAGGTTAGGGGAGTTTATGATGCAGAGTCCTCTTGTTCTTAAGGCCCACAAAGTAAACAAAAGCTGAGCCAAGGCACCTGCTTATGTGTCTTTTCCATGAAGGAGGGATCTTGGAGGCCCGGGAAGCCCATGCTGTTTTTTGTTTCTTGGAGGAGGCTCCATGGGCCTCCAGCCTCTCCTTACAGGACAGAAGTTTCTAGAGTCAGGGCACCACTTCCCATCAGGAGACATACACTCTCATGATACACACATACAGTCTGGCTGGAAAGAACCCTGAGGTGTCCAAGACAGTGTCTGGCAGAGGAAGGGTGTTGGATAGCTGTAGACCTTCCCAGAAGGGGGCATACAGAGAAACAGGGATGACTTTCTCCTTTGGTAATCTGAGCTTTTGACCTCTCAACAGTGTATCTTCTTTGCCAAGGCAACGACATCCACACAGAGCCACTCAGACCCCAGGCATTCCTGTGGCTATGCCAACAGGCCAGAGATGATCATCACAAGCCTAGGTATAGCCAGGAGCCCATGATCCAATATCAGGACATGACCTTTAGATCATTTCCTGCTACACTCCTGCCATCTGGTCCTCTCAGCTCTCCCAGCTGCCCAGAAGAAACAAACTGAGGTTGGAACCAGCTGTTAGTACTTTCACCTTTGTTCATTTGTTTCAGATGAGCCTGTTTCCTCAGATGTAGACCAAGAATGATGTAGATAAGGTCATTGGCTCAATATGGAAATATGGAGTAGCATATTTGCTCAAAAGTGGTATATATTAACAGGCATTTTTATAGTCTCATCACCCTTGGTTGGATGGGGCAGGTTGAGTGAATCCATGGACTGTCTCTTGCTTTTGCTTCAATATCTCTAGGATGATGTTCTGTCCCAAGGAAGGTCAGAGATCTCAGGGACAATGCAGATAACTCTCCTCTGTTACCTAACCCCATCTCTTCTCTGTGGGGCCCTTCCCTCTCTCTCAGGTGACTAAATGTTGAAAAGAGCACTTGGCTGATGTGAGGGTCATCTCCATTGTTAGTTTGACTGTATTTAGGATTGTCATGGAAACTTCTGGGCATGTCTGTAGGTGTTTTCAGAAAGGGTTAACTGAATGAAGACAGGACCCATCTTGAATGCAAGTAGCATCATTTTGTGGACTGAGACCCAAGACTATAAAAAGGAGAAAGTGACCTGAGCACCAGCATTCATCTCACTTGGCTTCCCAACTGTTGGTGCAATGTGACCAGCTGCCTCACATGCTTGAAGCCATGCCTTCCTTACCACAGGATATATCCTCAAACTGCAAGCCAAAACAAACCCTTCTTTCCCTCAGTTGTTTCTTGTTATGTATTTTGTACAGCAATGAGACAAGGAACTAACACAGCTGATCATCAGCATCTCCAGCCCTCTTGCCTCAGGACCTCTGCTCTGTTCTGTGACTTCATTTATTTCACTGAGCTATACTAAGTAAATGTGTGCCAGATCCTTTTGTCAAGGGCAGGATGATGGGAGAAAATAAATGTAGCTGAGTGTGTTCCTGTGTGTCATCTAATCTCTGAGGCAATCTCATTTAGCTGTGATTTGTTATTCCCATTGTGTAGACATAGTAACCGAGGCTTGAGGGATCACAGTCCAGAAATAGCAGTTAGATATATGTGGTGGAAGATCTCAGAGATCTTAAACTTCACCCTCCTCCAGCCACTACTGTGCCTTCATAGCACAGCCAGGGTTCCAGAAAGTTCACTGGGAGCTAGTACAGTATTCACAGGTGGTGTCCTGCAGACAGCCACTGGCCAGGCACTGATGACTCAATAATGTCAAAGTGGGGCTAGAAAGATGGCTCAGCTGTTAAGAGTACTGGCTGTTATTCCTGAGGACCTGGGTTCAATTCCCAGTACCAACGTGGCAGCTCACAACTGTCTGTAACTCCAGTTCCAGGGTATCCTACACCCTAACAGACATATGTGCAAGCAAAATGCCAACACACACACACACACACACACACACACACACACACACAAAAAAAAAAAAAAAAAAAAAAAACTAAAAAAATGTCAAAGGGAATGAAATGGTAGCAGCTTGATGTCTTTCACTCCAGTGGCCTGGCCACAAAGAAAAGCCAGTCAGAGTGACTCAAAAGCACCTTCCTACTTTGAATATGGCTGAATATGAATACCATGGCCACTTCAGACAAATGGGGCTTGACATGCTGAGGTTCACATGTGGTGAGGTCCACAGCTTGGGAAGCATCTTTGGGGCTAATCACCCTGGTGGGTCACCCCATCTCACCAGTTCTTTCGCTGGTGAAAACGGTGGACCAATGTGTCTGGAAGATCATTAGAGATAGGCCAAGGGAGTTTCCATGTGCACAGAGCAGCCCCAGATTGCTATGACTATTCCCATGTGAACAGATGAGAAACTGAGTGACATGGGCCAATGGTCCATCTTCTTTGTCTTGGGTAATCACATCCTCCTAAGAATGAACTGAGAACAATAGGAGCTGCTGCAGTCTGGGATGGGCCTAGGCCTTTCTATTGGAGGAAGCAGCAACCCTTGCCAAGGGAGCAGTATTTTTATCTGTAGCTGGGAGTCTTTAGGATATTCTCCTAGATCACTCCTCACCTTCAAAGTGTAGATAAGGAAGAAAAGCAACCACCACATGGAGCAAGGTGATTTGCTGAGCTGGACATGGTGGCACAGGTGTACAATCCCAGCACACAGGACTAAGTCTGAAGCAGCCTGGGGTACACAGTGAGTTCAAAGCCAGCCTAGGCCACACAAACAGTGAGACCTTAACTCAAGGAGTCAAAACAAACAAACGAAGAAGCAAACAATTCGACAGTGTTCAAGGGCCCAGGCTCTCTGATGAGGACCCATTAGGACATCGCCCACAATTATGTCTGGGCTCCAGTAG